GAAAAAATAGTTGCACATTGTGTCAAGCTGTTATGTTGCATAGTGGATCACCTTAATGTAGTTGGTAAATTGTTTTCATTCTGTATTTACTGTCTCCTCTTAATCAGTAATTCATTTAGACATTATTTTAACAAGCCACAATAGAAATATTATGATGGGCTCACCCTGTAACAGGTATTGACTAAGACAGGGCCGTTCAGCTTGTAAGTGTCCACACCATGCAGGGAGGCAATTCCATTGCTGCACTGTGCTGGGGTATCTGCTGCCAGGAAGTGAAAGCTGAGGGAGGCAGGGAGAGCCTAAAGAACCTGGCTATAGCATTAGCCAGACAACAGGGGAAGCAGTGGCTGGACAGGAACTTGGCGGCTGCACATTAACCCTTGCTAGTTTGACAGCCCTGGACTTATAAATGCCATTCCCAGCAATATATGATGCTGCTATACTAATTTGGAAGTAAACTTGTTTTATCGGTGGCAGGTCAGGGTGCTGTGCCTTAAAATTGTGAGGCAAGCCTGTTTGTGCAGTTTTCATAATAGATCAGAGAAGGATTTGTATGGTATGGTTTGGATAGGGATGATCCTGCCTCAGACAGGGAGCTTGACTAGATCGGGGTAGACAAGTGGTATGAGCAGCCTGTGCATGGCATGAGGCAGATTAGGGAGGGGACAGGCAGTGCAATAGTAGATAGAGTAGAAAGCAAATAGTCAGTCAAGCATGGAACACAAGGAAGGTGGGGGGAAGGGGAGAATGTCATAATAAAGACTAGTCCAGGTAATAAGATAATAATCCATAGTCCCTGTTTAAACCACACTTAACCAAGTCCAGTTTGTGGATGATTTCTTGTTCCACAGTTTCCCATTTAAACTGAATTTTAAATATTTTTTTGCCTGAGAACCACAATGATGAGGTCAGTGATACCTTTAGACAGCACAAAGCTTTAGAGGATAGGTTTTATGGCTTGATCTACTGAAGCCTTTGGGATGTTTTTTCCTGTTTCCCTTTGTTTCATGCATATCTCGTCCTTGGCTGTAATAGCGGTATAGATTCTGCCTGATGCGAAGTTACATCCTTCCTTGTCAGTCCTTTTCCCTGGCACATGCTAGCTGCTGGAATTTTTAAAAGCCAGAGCCTAAGGTTTTTGTGAACCTCCTCTCTATCGAGTGAGCCATCAAGCTTCAGAAACCCCATGCAATGGAATTGGAAAGGCATGCATTTGGTACCCAAGGCTGCAGAGGTTTTACTGTACCCCTTAAACACCTGGAAATGACTGTCTAGAGGTGGGGAATACAACCTCATGCAGCTCTTGGTGAGGGACAGCGCCTGGATTACTGTGCTTGAAGATGGACTCAGGCTTCCAAGAAAAGTGGATTAATCATGAAGTGTCAATATGGTCTTGCCTTTTGCAGGACAGTGGATATTATTTAAATATTTAGCACATTGTGGGAGACTGACAACCGTGGAATCCTAGTGGCTTCTCTCTCGTTATCACAAGTGTCTGAGGAATGGAAAGAGCATGGGCTAGATCTGTCCTTCAGACATAGGCAGGTATAAAACTCTGAGCATGGGTGAGCAATTCAAGGGAAATAATGGCTTGAGTCTAAGCTGTGTCTATACTGGCTAAAGGCTTCCTCGCAGGTTTAGGACACAAGCTGAAATGAAGGTGGTTTCAAAGCAACATAGTCACTTGAGGTCCATTCTCAGCAGTGGGGCATGCATGTATGCATGGTGATGCTGACTGCCAGCAAGAGGCATTCTGGTTTGCACGTGGTGTGATTGTACTCCTGGTGTGGTCCTCAGATTTTTCACGATGCTTAAATGATTCCTACTTTACATGAATATAAGTGAAATTGGAGTAGGGTCCATCAGAGGACTGCTGAAGACTGCACAAGCAGTCCTGGCAACATGGATAGAAGCCACTACTGCTGTACTACCCACTTTCCAGCACCCTTTGTTAGCTTAGAAGGAAAATTCATTCCAGA